CTATATTATCCATTGATGTTGTTTGATCTTGATATGGATCCTTATACCATCTAACAGGTATTATTGACATATGAAATGCTGTGATCTTGGAATGCATCATAACACAGAAATAATGTTGGCATATAATGCCCTTGGAGATATTCATTAAGTACGAGCATAAAAATGAAATTTGGTTAACAATTACTACAAAGTGGACATGGTGCCTCTTTTCATTACACAAGTTAGTAATCTTCCAAATTTCTCTTATATCTTCACGTTTGACCTCATCAATTATTGCTTGAAGTGTTATGTTTTTCGCATCATACTAATCTTCAAGGAACCCATCACATGTTTGTTCGATTTCCTATATTTAAATTTGTTATTATACTATGCATATATAAGATTACTGATAATTTTTTATTTATTTACCTGTTTCTGAGCTAAATTATCATTGGTAGGTTCGATTCTACTTGCACTAAGAAAAAGACATTGGCTCATCTCAGTTTTAATTGCAAAGTTTATTGCCTCTGTTAAGTGTTTATCCAATATTTTATTAATTACAGGAAATAGATCTTGACTAGCCATAGGCACTGTTGACATAGTAGTTGATGATTTATATTCATAAAACCTTCTCTACTGATCTTCATCTCTTAGCCGCTAGTCCAGGTGTTCAACAAGTTCACATAAAGTACTTTTTGAGCTTAGTTCTTTTTTGATTATCCAGTTATATGATTTTACACATGCAGTACTCTTTATGCTAGCTATAAAAATCTTATGCAAATATGCACGTGCTCAAGATTAACAATTTGAATTTAAGGATCCATATCAAGATCAAACAACATCAATGGATAATATAGTGTTTAACCATGAAAAAGGTATGCTTGACTTAGATCTGAGTAATGAGATAACTCTTTCTCTACGCAAAATAGCTACTATGTCAACTACTACTACACCTGCTATAAAAAAAACAATTCATAAAAGAAATCAATATTGTCAAATTTGGAAACTTGCATGTAAGGCAACTTCACTAGCTGTAGAGAATAGTGATAATGAGATAGCTCAAATTTTGACAAAATATATCAACGAAAAAAAAATAAAAGCAAGCAAACAATTCAAACCAACCATAGAGTTTTGCAACCCACAAATCAGCAAGAAGTTTTTGTAATGATAGAACAAAATTTCATAGCTAATCAAGAACAAAGCAGAATTACAAATCAGTCATCTGATCTCTCAACTAGCAGCCAAAGTATTGACAAAGAATCAAATGAGTTATACTTAACTGAAATGGATGGAATAGAAGAATTTGACACTATTACAACTGAACCTGAGACACCAAACCTTGCTGATATTCAAAATCCACTTCATGTTGTGGGTAAAGGAAGGCCTTCAAACCATAGATTCGTTAGTAGTGTTGAAAAAGAGCAAAAACGTGGTGGTGCTTCAATTCGTGGATCCTACAAATGTCGCACATGTGGCCAACTTGGGCACAACTCTGCATTTCATAAGAAGGACAGACCATAATCAAACTCGTAGCAAGCAAAGAAATTAAGGCTAGAAAATATAAAAATCAGTATTGGCGTTTATTATAGTCAGGTGAATTATGATAAAGTCTATAAATATGTAAAAACCATGTGATTTGTATTAGGTACGTATCTGATATACGTATTACTATATGTACGTATATGAGTAAAAGCCTGGAATTGGGGTTTTCGAAATTTTATTTTCTTATACGTACATATGTAATTTTTGAAAGTAAATTTCCATTTGCGTAAAGAAGAACATACTCCTAAGTAGAGACTGGACTCGAGTCAACTCGTAGCTTAAATAACATAGTCTTGACTCGAGTTAATTCGAGTTAAGACTATGTT